TGGCATCGTGTCGCAACACGATACGATTCAGCCTAGGAGAAAAGTATCGTGTCGCGATACGATACCGACACGATACTTTTCTTCCGTGACGGTCTCTGATTTTAAAACATGGTATTTGATTATAAAAGTAGAAGAGAAGGATGGAATTAATATTTTTAATTTGCTAGTTTTTTCTTTAAAAAATTCTTTAATTTTTCAAACCATGGAAAGTGTCTTAAAAGATATTGGAGAAGGCTGGAATCATTATTTTTTAATTGTTAGTATTGTTTTTAAATTTCTTGATTTTTTGAACCATGGAAAATGTTAAGGAAAAGATTTGAAAATGCTTGGATTATTTTTTTTAATTTCTTAGTTATTTCATGAAAAATTATTTGATTTAGAGCCGTTCAAAAAGTATGTAATGCCGTTATGGAGAAGAGGGGGAGTCAGCAGATATGGTACGCTATATGACTACACAAAAAAAACTATAATCTAATTTTAAGAAGCGCCTTCTTAAATAGGAGCCAAGAATATTTCTTACTTAAATTAAGTGGGAAATATTCTTACAATAAGAATATTAATCTTATTGTAAGAATATTTCCTACTTAATTTAAGTGAAGAATATTCTTGGTTCCTATTTAAGTAGGAGCTTCTTAAAATTAGATTACCATTTTTTCTGTGATATGCGGGGGTCAAAGAAGTTTCTACGTAACGTTTTTAATTTTCATTTCATATCCTGATAATATTTCTGACCGCGCGTCTGATAAAATAGAGCTTATTACCAAAATAATCGATTTCTGGATTTTATCATGAAGCTGAAAGTGGTATCCTGTTATCAGCTTTAACGTATTTTGGAAATTGAATTCTATAATTAACATTTTTTATGCTTTTGACAAACACATTTGAAGAATTTATTGTGTGCTAATAACTGAGTGCAAGTTTTAGCTTTATAAAAATATTAAGTTTTATTTTCAAATAAAAGTTTTATTTTTCAATCAGTAGCAAAAAAACTACGTAACAAATATAATTTAATATAAATAATATAATTTTATGATATCTCATAGAATTACTTTGGGTGAGAGGTTTGTTCCATATGGTACAGCCTCTGTAGATGGAAATCAACCTGTCCGGATAAAGAGAGATGAATTCATACACAATCCAATCAGTGAGATACTTCCTAAATGGTTAGAAAATCCTACGTTTCAAAATGTAACAAAACCAAAAATTAGACGCGAAGATAATGTTTTAAGGTACACTCTCACCTCATTGCCTGCCTGCCTGCGTTACCATGACAACCTGGAGGTAGGCAGGCAGGCAGTAGGAGCTGTGCTAGCGCCTTTAGAAACTTATATGGATGGATATCATTTTCAAAATTCGTCCTTCAGATTACAGAAACCAAATTGTCGTTTCATAAAATTGTACTACGACGAAGTTGACATGTGCGATGCAGTTGGATCAAAATCAAATTCCGTGAATAAATTAGGGAAGTTTTATTGGGTGGATGAAGGTGTATCACGTGAACATCAGTCCCAATTAAAATTCATCAATTTAGCTGGTATCGTGTCAAATACTAATATAAAAAAATACGGACTGAATGCAATTGTCAAACATGTCGTTAACGATGTAAAAAAATTAAAGGAAGGTATCCGTTTATCCAACGGTGAAGTAATGTATGCAACAGTTTCCTTCGTAATTGGTGACAATCTTGCCATACATCAACTGGGTCGCTTTATGGAGTCATTCAATGTAGTGCTGCATTTGAGCGATACGATCCGATATTCGAACGATATGCTCTCTTTTTTCAATTTGACAATTGAATTATCAACTCGCTTTTGTCTCGCTTTTGTCTCGCCTTTAAAAAAGGTTTAGTATGAAGTTGTATTAATAAGAAAATTACAAAATTTAAATATTTATAAAAGGAGTAAAATTTTTTTTACAATTTTTTAGAAAAAAAAGAAAAATTTGAATGGACATTTTATTTTTAAGAAATACTATAAGATACAAATTAAATAGCAAATTTTTTTTAAAAACTTCAACAATAGTGAAAATTTGTAATTGTAAGTAAGAAATAAAGATAACTAAAAATTTAAGAAAGACAACAGAAATTTTGCTTTAAATATTAGTAAATATGATATATTATAAAATTTGAAAAATTAGAAATAATACATAAAAATTGTTTATTTAAAAATTTAATCTATTTGAATGATTTCAGAATTTTTTTTATTGTTTATACTTCTGCCCTATTGGCCTTACGCACTTCGAAAAGAGTCCCCGAGAAATACTTTTTGGATTAAGCATAACCATTCTACTTAGAAATTTTCTATATATTAACCTAATTTGCGTCTACAGCCGACTTTATTAGGAGTACTCGCATTTTGCCTGGACCACCCGTCAATGGGTTTTCTCGCCAGAGAAGAGGGAAACTGTAAAAAACCTCTCCTGAGTACAACCGGTTTATCGACAGTCGAGTTCTAATGGTGTATACCGGACAATAATCGACGGTGCACATCATTATACCTCGACGTCAAACCTCCCGCTCAGATTGTCTCACGTGCCGGAAAAATACCATTCTGAAAAATCAAATTGGGATTTTTATTTTCAAAAATTAATTTACTAAATTTTTTAAATTTCAATTTACAAATTCAATTAAAGCAAAAGTACATTCATACAACAACAAACTCATAAATAATATGAATCGAAGTAACATTAAAAACAATGAAACAAAGAGTAATTTTTTTTAGTTGTCCAGTCATTGATGCAAACCCAGTGGGCACAGGGACGTCTAAAAGACGTCTTAAAGACGTCCCTTTTTGTCCGCGGACGATTCGGGGACAATGATGGCAATGTCTCTGAGTCATCAAAAAGACATAAGAAAGGACGTCTAAAAGACATAAAAGGGACGTCTAAAAGACGTCTTTAAGACTGCTTTTGGACGTCCTTTTTACATTCCTTCAGATCTTAAATAAACATTTCTTTTATAACATTTTCTAAGTTGAAATTCAGTAATATTGTATTAAATTTATTTTAAGTTTAATATTATTTTTTCTAAAATGTGGAGAAATAATGAAAAAATTCCTACGAAGCTGGGATCGAACTCGGATACCTTGGGCTTGAAACACTGCGCCTTAAGCACCTCAGCCGTTCAAGACAGATATGAACCTCTACAAAGTTAACGATCTCACTTGTCAATGAAATGAATTTAACTTAGAAAAATTCCAATGAATTTCACATTCATAAATTTCTAAGTCCAAGTTAAACTTAGAAAATAATATTTTCTATTCATGAAAATTTTTCTATTTTCAAATGTTGAATGAAAAAGACGTCTTTTAGACACCTTAAAGACATCTAATGCCCAAGACATAGAACATGAATAGGACGTCTTTTTGTACAAGTCCAAAAGACGTCCACAAAAAGACATACTTAGGACGTCTTTTAAACAAGTGTGCCCACTGGGAAGGAGTTCGCGAGCAATATCTTTTCTTAACCTGTTTTGGTGTTTACGAATAGTAAGGGAGGAACGTGAAAAAAGGCGTTCTACAGAAACCGAAGTCGTTTGTATGCTAAATAAATCGCGTGCCATGTGTGCAAGAGTTGGATAAACATTTTTAAGTTACTGCCACCATTTAAGAACATCAGTATCTGCATTTGACAAATCTGAGTTTAAATACTGATCCGACTCAAATCTCCAATCATTTACTGAAGATTCATGCCCAAGTAATCTCTTCGTTTTAGTTGCCGCCTTTTTCGAAAAATCTGTTTTAAATAAACTTAAAAAATCAATCGTATTTTCATCATCTGACTCTTCATCAATAACCTGAAGATGATCATTTGGTGATTGAAGGTCATTATTTGAAGTCGGAACGTAGTAATCTCGTCGGTACAATTTTTCGAATTGTTCAATAGATTCTTTTTTCATTGCCCTTCCCCAATCTGTTTTTTCGAAAACAGCAATTCTATGTCTGGGATCCAGCAGGAGGACAACACAATAGATCCAATTGCACTTGCGGTAGTGTTTGATTATTTTTTCGTGGGCTGCTGCAAGTGCATCTCTTATCTTCAAATCAATTTCCGTTTTTTGGGGATTACCATCTATTTTCTAAACAACAATTTGAATTTGATCGAATAATAAATTTAATCCGATGATAACCAAAGGCAGAGACACATACTTTTGACCAGAGAGAGTTTTAGAAAAAGACTTGATGTTAAGTAAAGTAATAAAATATTCATTTATTAAAAATAACAATGATACAAATCTTGGGAGAAATTTATTTTATTTCGTAGGCCCATTCTCACGGAACACAAAATAAAATCTGTTTTGGATTATATTTATAGTATGTCTGTAAAATTTTACATTTCTTCGACGCCTTTCAATTTTTAAGCCTTAAAAATAGCAAACTGTAAAATTAAGACCATAGGGTACAGAAAATTGTATAGAATTGTCATAAAAGCGAAAAGGCTAGATTCAATGTACCCTTGAATTTTATGGAGGTACTCGAGTCATTAAAGTAGGTACAAATTGTCTCCTGCATTTTTTTCTATTGAAATTGATGTCAATTCTGATTGGGCATTTTTAAGTGTTCAGGGCGTTTCCAAATTTCTCCCACTATTTTAGATATTTTCATACTCATCGGAAAATCATGTAAAACCACATTTTTAGCATTCACTTATTAATCGTTAAAGACGAAACTTGTAGGCAAAAATTTCCAAACGCATCGGAAATTGTAAAACGAGATTTTTGTGTTGATGACGTATTTACAGGAAGTAAAAATAAAGAAAATGCTATTTCTCTAAGAAATGATTTAATTGATTTGTTAAAACTTGGAGGTTTTAATCTGTGTCAATGGTGTTCTAATGATTTCGATTTGATCTCTTCTTTACCTGAAGATTTGATTAACATTAAGACACTTTCAGATCCGTTAATGTCTATCAAAACTTTAGGGATTCAATGGAATCCAAAAACGGATCAATTAATATATACCATTGATAACATTTCAAACAATATGCGAATTACAAAACGTACAATGCTTTCTCAAATTGCACAATTATTATACGATCTTATCGGATTATTGGGTCCTATAATAATAAAGGCAAAAATCTTTATGCAACGTTTATGGCAAATTAAATGTGATTGGGACGAATCAGTTCCTCCTGACATTCACATTGATTGGCAGAATTACAGAAAGGATTTAACTTGCATAAATGATTTGACCTTTCCACGATGTGTTGTTATTGATGAAGCCACAAATGTACAATTGCATGGGTTTTGTGATGCAAGCGAAGTTGCATATGGCTTGCTCTCAAAACTCGTGCAATCTGTTCTGCCAATTTTGGCTTTGAAAATCGATGAAATACATTTGTGGTCTGATTCAACAATAACCTTACAATGGATAAACACAGAACCATATCAACTAAAAACATTTGTCGCTAATCGTGTTTCTCAAATTCGTGAGACTACAGATCCATTAAAGTGGAGACACGTTCCAACAAACCAAAATCCAGCTGATCTCTTATCAAGAGGTCAAATGCCACGTGAATTCATGCAAAATGCTATATGGGTTTCAGGACCAATTTGGCTCAGCACTGATGAGAAAAATTGGCCTCCTAACCAATTCGAAAAGGTACCAACTTTAGAGTTAAAAGCTAACGTAAATTTACTTTCAAATAACGTAACAAAGACACAAGAAACAAATGACATTTTAACAAAGTTTTCTTCTATTCAAAAAACTAAACGCGTTATGGCATTTTGTATGAGATTCATTGATAATATCAGAATTAATTTGCAAGCAAAGGGTAAAAAAGGTTCGAAAACACAAGCAATTGTAAATTCTGGTATTAAAGATCTGCGTTTATCAGTTGAAGAGATACAAACTGCAATGAATAAAATTCTTGTTCTATTACAAACACAATTCTTTTCACGGGAATTAAAGGCCCTACAAAACAATGAAAAATTACCTCGCTCAAGCAGTTTGTTCTCTTTAGATCCTTTTGTGGGCAAGGACGGTTTGTTACGGGTCGGAGGACGATTAAAACATTCAACTTTGTCCTATAATGAAATACATCCAATTGTTTTGCCTAAGTCGCATCACATTACAATTTCAATAATTAGATTTAAACATCAAACTAATTATCACAGTGGTGCTCAAGCAACACTGAACGCGGTCAGATCTAATTACTGGCCAATTAATGGTATGAACACAGTAAAAAAAGTTATAAGAAAATGTATGACGTGCTTTCGTGCAAAACCTGCGAATTTAAATTATTTAATGGATAATTTACCAAAGGAAAGAGTCACTCAAACTCGACTCTTTGTAATCACTGGTGTGGATTATTGCGGTCCATTCTTTATTAAAGAGAAAAAACACAGAAATCGAAACAAGGTTAAAGCATATGTAGCAATTTTCGTATGTTTTGCAACAAAAGCTTGTCACATAGAATTAGTTAGTGATTTGACTACCGAAACCTTCATTGCATGTTTAAAACGATTTTTTGCACGACGCGGAAAAAGTTCAACCATTTTTTCTGACAATGGAACAAACTTCGTTGGCACAAACAATGAGTTGACCAAAACACTGCGTGAACTTATAGATTCCGAAAATCACAAGGCGGAAGTTTTAACATATCTCGAGAAACAGGGTATCAAGTGGAAATTTTCACCTCCAAATTCACCACATTTTGGCGGATTATGGGAGGCTGCGGTTAAGTCTTTTAAATATCTCTTTATTAGAAGCATTGGTGAAAAACTGTTTAGTTTCGAAGAGTTGATCACGTTTACAACCGAAATAGAAGCAATCCTAAATTCACGTCCAATCACTCCTTTATCATCAGATCCTAATGACCTTCGATCATTATCTCCATCTCATTTTTTAATTGGTGATTCATTAATGAGTGTACCAGAGCACAATCTGACTGATATCCCAGAGAATAGGGTGTCAAACTGGCAGAATATTCAACGTGTGAAGCAACTTTTTTGGAATCGATGGTACAAAGAGTACCTCAATCAACTCAACATCCGTTGCAAATGGCAACATGCTGGTACTGACAACCCAAAAGTCGGCACCATGGTCATCATCAAGAAAGACAACACGCCACCTTTACGCTGGCACCTAGGAAGAATAATTAAAATTCATCCTGGAGACGATTCTATTGTTAGAGTCGTTACTGTTCGCACTACAACTGGGATCTATAAACGATCAGTTAAACGCGTAGTTTCCTTGCCTATTGATTAAAACATATTTCAATGCATATCAGTGTGTACATTGCTCTAATATTTTTTAAACTTTTGAACTTATATCGTTCAAGGCGGGCGGTATGTTAAGTAAAGTAATAAAATATTCATTTATTAAAAATAACAATGATACAAATCTTGGGAGAAATTTATTTTATTTCGTAGGCCCATTCTCACGGAACACAAAATAAAATCTGTTTTGGATTATATTTATAGTATGTCTGTAAAATTTTACATTTCTTCGACGCCTTTCAATTTTTAAGCCTTATAAATAACAAACTGTAAAATTAAGACCATAGGGTACAGAAAATTGTATAGAATTGTCATAAAAGCGAAAAGGCTAGATTCAATGTACCCTTGAATTTTATGGAGGTACTCGAGTCATTAAAGTAAGTACAAATTGTCTCCTGCATTTTTTTCTATTGAAATTGATGTCAATTCTGATTGGGCATTTTTAAGTGTTCAGGGCGTTTCCAAATTTCTCCCACTATTTTAGATATTTTCATACTCATCGGAAAATCATGTAAAACCACATTTTTAGCATTCACTTATTAATCGTTAAAGACGAAACTTGTACTACTCGCGATAGTTTGTCAATCTTTAAAATTTGATATTTCAAATATATGTAGGGGAGACTGGGGTAAACCCGCTCACAGGGTAAACCCGCTCACTAGCGATTTTACGCTATGAACTCAACTTAAGATGGAGATATTGGTACTGTGAATAGTACTTAATATTCAACTTATATTAACGAACTTTCGTTTAGTTTCATGAATTCGACACAGAATCAGAGACGATCAAATGTTTTTAGAGGTGTCAGAAAAAAACGTATTTTGGATTTTTAAGTTTTTTGATCATTATTTTTGAGTCTTAATTTATCTGGGAAATTTTTTTTGTTGCTATTGGATGTCCTTCGTCGAAGTACATATATAGTTTTGTCTTATTTTAAAAAGATTTAATTAAATTTATTCTGAAATGTGAGGAATACACTCGGGGTAAAGCCGCTCACTTAGTTTTAAATTTAAAATTTAGAATAAAATAATTTCACGTATTATATTTTAACAATAACACAATTTATGACTTATTAAAACCAAAATTGTAAATACATTTCACTTTCTTTTAATAAAATATAACACTATTTAAATCCATAGTTGTAATTCATGAAATCTATGTTCATTATTAATTAAACCAATTTTTTGTTTATAGAATTGTTTATATAACTCATAAATTATCAATAATAAATCATACTTAAGACGGGAATAAGACGAACTTTAATATTTAAAAAATAAAACTTTTCCGTCTTGAAAAGATAAAGTGAGCGGGTTTACCCTGGAAAATTGTGATTTCGAAATTTGGTATATGTTTAATAAAAAGTTTCTCTAAGTAAAACTAAAAAAGATAAATCAAAAACTCTTTTTTATTTTTTTAGTAGAAATCATAAGCTTTCAAATGATATAAATTAACTTGGATTTAGAGAATAATTTCCTAGATTTTAGCCGATCTGAAAAAAAGTGAGCGGGTTTACCCCAGTCTCCCCTATTAACTTGACTTGTTTCCAATTATTTATTTACCCAGGCGATCATTATTAAATTAACGATCGTGATATGAGAATTTCTCATACGCAAAACACTTGAATATATGTAAATATTCGTAAGCAGCCTTTAAGAGAGTCCAGTCTTCAACAGATAAAACATATTTATACAAATCTTTATTTGCGAGGCACAATAACTCAAGAGCTTTTCGTAACCTGCTGCCTTTTCCGATCATATCATGTGTTGAATACCGCCGTGTTTTACTATCAATTGTCGGAGCTTCATACTTTGTATCCGTGGAAATGCAACAAGCCTCCAACTTTTGACGCAATTGTCCTGAATATTTTATTTTTACAAAAAGTTCTTTGAGTTTTCCCACAGGAGAGGTCGATTTTTTTGAATTAATTATAAGTTTCTCATCATCATCACTATCGAGTTCTTCGTCTGACTCTGCTTCTTCAATGGTCTGTACTTTTAACTTTACTAAAAAGTCTTGAACTCCTAGATTTTCAATATGAGCCATACATCGAAAATGTTGATTCTCTGCATCAAAATAAATCCCATTTTCTGAAAAGATGAGGCCTAATTCTTTGATGAAGGTCGTATTATTTGCAACGTTATCAAGAGTTATTCCGGCAATTTTTCCTCTAAATTATATTTCTTCACAAAGTCATAAAATAAATTGGCTATGTCTTTTCCAGTGTGGCCTCCATTTAAAGGAACAAATTCCAAACTTAAGGACTGCATCTCCCAATTGTCATCAATATAGTGACCTATTCGTAAAGTCAATAATTTTACAACCCGAAAAATTTTATCAAAATTTAAAAGTGCATACTTTTATACGAAGTTTTAACAGGGTTGCCACAAATATTTAATTTTATTTTTTCCTGACTTATCCCTGATTTCCAGACAAAATTCTCACTTTTTACCTGACCCTAAAAAAATATTCTGATTCACTCTAAAAAATTATTAGAAACTCAAAAAAATATTCTATTACATTTATTTACTAATTTCATTAATTGTAAAAATTATTTAAAAGCATAAATAATTTCTTCTTTAAATAAATATTTAATCATTATTATTTTTCCGTAAAAATTAAAATTCTTCAATACATTCAAATTCAAACATTTTTGAAATTCAACAATTTATAAGAATATTATTAAAAAACATAAGGAAGGCGATCACAATTCGTTGCAATAATTCAATTATTTTCATAAATAATGAATGGATTATTCGGTAATTAATTTTTTAATCAATTTTTATTAGGAAATTCTAGAACAAATCAATTATTTAAATTAAAATATAAATAATTTATTGAATAATTAAATGTTTGTTAAAATTGAATTCTCATAAAGAATTTTACCAACGAATTTTTAAATAATTCAATTATTTTGACAAACTTTAATGAAATTTTTAAGAATAATTACATTTATCAAGGAATTTGATTAAAATATTGTATAAAAAATTAATTAAAATCCTGCGATGAGTTTTATTAGTTATGAAAATAATTAAAACTTTTCCCAAAAATGTTATTAAAATTTTTCTAAAATAATTGAATTTCAGTGAAGAATTTTATTATTTACAAAAATAATTGAATTCTTCAAAAGAACTTTGTTAAATTTTTTTTAAATAATTGAATTCATGCGACGAATTTTATAAAAATCTTTTTAAATAATTGATAATTTTCGAAAAAAAATTTTAAATTTTTTATAATATTAAATAATTGAATTCCTGTGAAAATTTTATTACTTATGAAAATAATTGATTTATTTCGAAGAAATTTATTAAAAATCTTGTAAATTATTGAATTCATGTGAAATTTTGCCAAGAATTTTATTAAAGTTTTTTAAAATAATTGAATTTCGTAGAAAAGTTGTATTATTTATAATGATAATTGAAATTTTGACAAGAATTTTTTTTAAATTTTTGAACATAATTGAATTTTGGAGAAGAATTTTATTTATTTTAAAGATATAATTGAAATGACCTGAATTTTTTTTAATTTTTGAATATAATTGAATTTCTGCGAAAAATTTTATTATACTTTTGAAAATAATTGAATTTCTGGAATTATTTGTAACTTTTCCAAAATCCGTTTTTTTAGTATTTTTAACTAAAATTCTTTTATCAATCTAATATTTTTGAAAATTGTAAAATTGATTCATTTAATAATTTATAAGTCTTATTTTTATGATAATTCTTGTAAAATTAAGTTATTTAAAAAGAAATTATTGTCTAAAATAGAGAAAATTCAAGGTTTTGTATTAAAATTCGTGGTAATTTCATAGTTTACGAGACAAACAAAAAAACATCAAAGTTCAAAGGTTTTTCATGAATTTTTAAAATTCAATTTTTTCCAGTACTTTTAGTAAAAATCCCTGACTTTTCCCTAATCCAATTTTTCTTTTCCTGACCTGTGGCAACCCTGTTTAATTTTTATGATTTTTGCAGTTAAAAATTGTCCCAAAATTACACTGAAAAAAATTATTTGATTCAAATAATCTATTACTTGTTTATTATCAAATAAATATTTACTTGAATCAAATTAATTTTATATAAATCAATGAATTATTATTTAAACCAATTATTTTAGTGTTGGAACCAAATAACACTGAATTGATTTAAATAAAAATTATTTGATTAAAGTAAATTTTGATTTAATAATAGTAACGCATTTAAATCAAATAAATTATTTTTTCAGTGTATGAAATAATTTTAAATAATAAATATTTAAGTACATTACTATTTATATCGCTTTTTAAAGATTCAGAAGAAATATAATTACTGATTATAAACTGTGTTTAAGATTAAAAGCAATTTGTCAAAATAAATTTTTAAAAAAATTTAAGGTTATTTTCTTGCGCGAAAATTACTTTAAACAGATATAAATTACCGAAAACCAGAAGAAAATTTAAAAAATGAAAGACCAACTGAGAAAAATACTAATTTATAAAAATTTACCAGTTATTCCATAAAAACACGAGGAAGCGATAGAAGTCCATCCGTCGAGTGCGAAAGATATCTTGGATGAATTATTTTTCAAAGTTTGCATTATTTTTGTTTGCATTTCTGAAAATCTTGCAAAGATTAAAACGTGCAGGTTATTTCTCAGGGGATATTTCGCTCATTTGTTCAAATAACTAAAGTATTCTTGCGTTACTTCGTCATTAAAAAAATTTATAGGAAGGTATTTTTTTGCAATCCACTCCATACTGTCATTTCATTGAATTTTTGCTATTCAAATTTCTGAATAAAAAAATTGAAACATGTTTTGGAAGGGTTCAATAGCACAATTACTGACTAATTTATATGTTATTAATAACATTCCGCTGAATGGAAAATTTAGTTAAAATAGTTTAAAACTGTATTGATCTTAAGAATTAAATTGCAAAAAGATCCGCATGGAAAAACGCAGGTGTTGCTTTCAAAAACTCATACAATGTTAAAAGTTAAAAAAAATTTTATTTAA